CATCAATTGGATGAGTAATTTAAAGATACTCCAAGTCAAATATGATTTGTTCGAGTATTATGCAATATTTAAAAGACTTGTAGCTCGACATGATTTATTTCTAAATTATTTTGTTATTATTATTTATTTTATTTTGCGTCTAAAGCGAGAAATTTAGGATGAACTAAGCTACTGTTGTTCACCAAAAAATGTAAATGAGGCTTTACACATAGCTTTAGATATTGATGAATATTACAATTATTCTAATTATACTATCATACTTTTGATTTATGCCCCTTCAAAAAAGTAATGCCATCTTTTTATAGCTTTATGGATGCATGCCAACATAAGAATCATGTATGGTTGAAGTTAGGGGTGCAAACGAGTCGAGTTGAGCTTGAGATAGGCCCAACTCAAGCTCGAATCGTGAGCCAGATTCCGAGCTTGAACTCGAGTCGAGCTCAGAAGTCCAGCTCGAGCTAGGCTCATTTAGCTGAAAAAACTCATTGAGCGGCTAGATTTGTGTCCCCTTTCGCCTGCATCACATCCGAGGTTCCGTTTGCGTACCCCGTTTGAGGTTCCTCTCGCATATTGTGTCCGCCTCTGTCTTGCGATCCATGTTCGAGGTCTCGTCCTGCGTCCGTCCCAACTGGCACACCTCCCGCGTATCGCCTCCGCATTGCGATCCGCATTCGAGGTCTTGTCCCGCGTCCTTACCCATCACCTGCATACCGCGTTCGAGCCTGATCCGTGTAGAAGCATACTTTCATTTCTCACCCGCATACCGCATAGGCGCGTACCGTGTATTCGAGTCGGCTTGTGCGTAATCGAGCTGAACATTAGCTGGATCGAACTCGTCGTAGTTAACGAGTCGAGCTTGAAATTCTGCTCGAGCTCGAGCCGGCTTTTTGGCTCACTTGCACCTCTAGTTGAAGTAGACAAGTAAAAAAATAGTAGTTCATGAATATTCATTATATTATTTTTAAATACAAAAAATAATTTGTAGTTACAAAATGAATATCCTTCTTATGATTATGAATTTGAATATCATGTTCATGAATCCGAACCCATAATTGATAAAAAAGTCAAATTGGAGTTTGAGTAAAAAAATTTAACATGAGATTATTTTTGAACTGTAGTTCCTATTGGAGATTTAACCTATACTTGAATATGACAATGAACCAATTATATATGATGAAATTGATGAATCAAATAAGCAATTTGGAAACACATTTGTTGATTAATTATTCCTTGATATTTTAGTTATATTGGATGATCATACCACTGTGGGCTATTTTTGTTCATGATTTAGTAACATACAAATTTATTGAACAAATATTATGATGAGAACAAAGTCATATCAGTATTTTAGGGAATTTATTAATAGAGAAAAGCTTTAATAGAAACATGTGATATAAAAAGTCCATCTATCTTATTAATCCTGAAGATGAATAATTTATCACAAATAATTTTTAAAACATTTGGGTTATTTTTCCTTAAATGGATTGTTTGTCCATTTGGAAAATTATAAATGTGTAGCTTGTCTTTTTGTACTTTTATTAATATTTCACTTTCTATGATTTAGTTGTAGGTCGTTGATAGCATCTCTTAGGACATATATTAGTACTTTTGAATTTATATGATTTGCAAAATCTGCATGCATTACATGAGGATATTTGTAGAGAATTGACTATCAACTTTGGCAAGTATAAACCTTTTACTGATGTACATGAGATATATGAGATTTAAACATGGTGATAAAGTTTTGATGCATTTAAATTCAAAAAATTCTTTCATTAGAAACGTTAATGAAATTAGATGTGAGGAAGATGGGCTATTTATAATTTTCCCATACATTGAAGGTAATGCCTACATATTAAATTCTAGAAAATTGTAGTGTTGATGGAACTATCAATTCCTTGGATTTTTCTTCTCTTTCAGTTTGTTTTTTGTGAGTCCACAGTTATTCCATTTAATTTCATGCAATACATTTCTGATGCTATTTAGTCTGATGAGATTGTGTTTATTGTTGATAATGAATTTTAGACATATCTTGTTCACAAGCGAAATAGGCATGCTTGTAATGAATCATAAATTATTTAGCAGGAAACTCAAAATCCATGTCTTGATTATTGATGAATATTAAATGCTAAATTCTTAGGACAAATTTTTCTAAGCTAGGCCATATTTATTGAAAATATTCATGTTTTTGTCATTGCAACAACAACAACAACATCAAGCCTTTATCCTACTGCATGGGGCTACATGAATACCTATGATGCACCGACACTTCTCCTCAAAGAGGCGTGCAATGTCCGACACCGTATCCGACACGACACGCGCCCGACACTCCTCAGACACGTGTCGGACATGCCGAAAACGTGTCAGATTAAAAAATATTAAATACAAATTGGACACGCGTATCCGACACGCATATCTTAAATATTTTATGATTTTTTTTAAATATAATTTCTTGTATTTAAAATTTTTACTTATTTAGAATATAAAAACTAAATTTCTTATTTCCTATCCACAATACCAAATCAATTGCCCGCACTTAATACACATTCATCGAATATTCTCATTTTCATTTCTCTTTGGCGAGTTACAATTTTGATTTCACAGTAATGTGCGATGTCATCTTAACATCGACGACTGCCGTCGTTACAACATTAACATTTCAAAATAATCTCCATATTAAAGTCTGACGCCGTCTTTACTTTGATGTTTGATACTAGCAATTTCTACACCCACAATTTGACATCTCATATTTGTCCAACATCTCAACATCGACGACCAATGGCCTCTCAATATCGATGATAAATGCTCTCTTAACATTGACGCCAAATATGTACTGCATAACATCAATGCCCAACTCTCGACAACATTGTTATGTCCTCTCTCGATGAATGATAAATGACACTAACGCCCGACTCTCGACATCCTAATATTAATCATTTTAAGTACAAATTCTAATTAAATGACTTATAATTTTTAAATTATACTTATTCAATTTTTATACACTATTTTTAAAATAGAAAAAAATTATAATACCGTGTCCAACCCGTGTCTGTCCTATATTTTCAATATTTGATGTATTACGTGTCCGTGTCGTGTTGTATTCGTGTCCATGTCTGTGCATCATAGATGAATACTATTCCTCATTTGTATCTTATTAAAAGTCAAATTCTCATTTAAATCTAATAAAGAAAGCTCATTTCAAATTCTCATATTTTTGTCATTGAAAGTGTCAAAATCATCACATCAAGGAATGATCTACAACAACAACAACATCAAGCCTTTATCCCACTACGTGGGGTCGGCTACATGAATCCTTTTTCTCCATTGTGTCCTATTAAAAGTCAAATTCTCGTTTAAATCTAATAAAGAAAGGTCATTCCTAATATTTTCTAACCAAGTCTTTTTAGGTCTACCCCTACCTTTCTTAACATAAGTCAAATCTAATACCTCTACTCTCCTAACCGGGTCATCGCAAGGCCGCCGTTTTATGTGACAAAACCATCTAAGGCGACTTTCTCTAATCTTATCTTCTGCTGGAGCTACTCCAACCTTTTCACGTATATGCTCATTTCGTATCCTATCTCTAAGGGTAAAGCCACTCATCCACCTGAGCATCCTCATCTCTGCCACACTTAACTTAGTATTATGGTTCTCTTTTAAAGGCCAACATTCGGCACGATAAAGCATTGCAGGCCTCACTACCATCTTATAGAATTTTCCCTTAAGTTTGAATGGTACATTTCTATCACATAACAAGCCCGATGCATTCCTCCACTTCAACCATCCAACTTGAATTCTGCTGATAATATCCCCATTTATTTCACCATCACTCTGAACAATAGATCCAAGATATCTAAAACGTGTACTCTTATTAATGACTTGATCGCCCAAAGTCACAATCCCCTCACTAGGTCTATTACTACTAAAATTACACTCCATATATTCCGTTTTAGATCTACTCAAGCGAAAACCTTTAGACTCTAAGGTTGACCTCCATAATTCAAGTTTACCTTCAACTCCCTCTCTAGTCTTATTAACAAGAAGAATATCATCAGCAAAAAGCATACACCAAGGTACATCCTCTTGCAAATGTCTAGTGAGAACATCCATGACTAAAGCAAAAAGATATGGGCTTAAGGCTGATCCTTGATGTAACCCAACCGAAATAGGGAAATACTTGGTCAATCCACCTTGTGTTTGAACACAAGTAATAGCTCCTGCATACATATCTTTAATGATTTGAATATAGGCATTATTGACTCCTTTCTTTTCAAGAACTCTCCTTAGCACTTCTCTTGGAACTTTATCATATGCTTTTTCTAAATCAATAAATATCATATGTAGATCCTCCTTATTTTCTCTATATTTCTCCATCAAACTTCTTAATAAATGTATGGCCTCCATAGTCGACCTACCCGGCATGAATCCAAATTGATTTTGAGAAACCATTAGTATCATGCCGCAACCTATGCTCCATAACTCGCTCCCATAGTTTTAAAGTATGACACATTAACTTAATACCTCTATAATTCGCACAATCTTATGCATCACCTTTATTCAAAAGGAATGATATGTACAAATTTAATTCATTTAATTTAATTAGTTTGTTTATTTTAGTTTATACTTAAAGTAGTTTGTGACATGCATGTTATTATGGCATAGAGAACATATGCATTTGCTATTTCCTCATGATAGGGTGGCATTGAGAAAAGATGCCTAAATATATTGTTTGTTATGAGATTAGATTTGTTTGGTTTTTATATGCTATTAAATTGTCTTCAAGTTCTATCTACAATTCTTTTTGGTTGTCATATTTTGAACTCAAAAGCTTAATTCATAGAAGGCGAATTTTTTCAAGTCAAGCTGATTGATGTAGGACTATTTTCCATTGTTTATTGCACTGGGATTACACTAGCGGGATGGATATCTACTCTTATAGCTGTTATGAGGATGTTATTATGATTTTTATTGTACGGATATTCTTTTGCTTATTATTACAGGTTTTCAAGGGACTATAGGTGTTGTTGCTGCGTACGGTTTTTTGCGGGGTTTTTTAACTTTTATGGGATTGCCCAGGTTCATCTTTTTTTATGTATATGTAATGTGATAATGTGATTTTTTTAAAGTTTTGATTTTTGGGTAAGGTTTAAAGTCTAAACTTGAAGGTTATTTTGAATCAGATTAGGCTGATCTTATGCCAGCTATATCTACTAACCTAGATATATAGAGATCTTTTGCCAACCATATCTACTAACCTAGGCATAAGGAACCTATAAATAGATATTCTAAGGCAAATAATATGCTATCTTTGATTTGATATTACTTTTTTTTTCGAATTCTTAGTCTTATGTATGTAAGTTGGATGTGCGGTTTATTCGAGTATGTGCGACACAAATGTGGCTACCTAATTCTAAAGGAAGTGATCCCGTTTCATAAGTGTGAGAGTTGAATTTCTTTTATTATGGAATTGATTTCTTGAACTACTTGTTATTTGCTTGTTAATGCCAGTGATATATTTCAAATTTGTAACTACCAAAAATTTATTTATGGTTATTTATTTGTTCATTGCATTATCACTTGAGTTCTAATTCTTATATATACTATTTGTACTTAAAGGATGCAGGCTATTGCTTTAGTGGTTTGTTATATTTGAATTCTTAATTTCATGTTCATGATTTACATATATTGCATTATCATATTGGAGACCCTGACCTTGAACCATCTTGTATCAACTTACGGGCATCTTCTCTAACAAATGGGGATAACTTCATATTCTTCTTCCTCTTCTTTTTCTTCTTCTTCTTCTTCTATGGCTGCTGCTATTGCTATTGCTTTGGAGAGTTGTGGATTGCTTTGTTTGTGGATGACAAATGAGGGATATTGGCCTAGTTTTTTTGTGTTTTTTAAATACTTAAGTTTCCTTTCATGATTTACCTATATTTCATCATAATAATTGCATTAAGAAACCATAATATTTAACCATCTTAAACTCACCTTCTTGTTGGAGGGTTGTAGATAATTGTGCTTGTAGTGAAAAATGGGGTAAGATGGGATGGAAGCTAGGGATGAGGATGGAGGGCTAAGTGGGTGAATGGAAATAGTAAATGGGAATGCTAATATTGGAGTTGGGGTTATACCTACAAGAGCAAAAAGTGAGAGGAGTGGGGAGATGAGAACAAGGAAAGTCTTGATAGGAAACACTTGTAGATCTCAAGTATTTCCTATCAATCTTCGGAAAACAGTGAGAATTCTTCTCAAAAATCCGCACAAAATCACAAAAACAGTAGATAATTTGTATTACTTAATGAAAGGGAAATGGAAAATAGCAAGATATAATTGATCCTCTATTCGAGAGGAGGATCGGTCTCTCCTAAATCTCTAGACGCTGCTAGAGCCCAAAGAAAAACTTAAATCTAAGAGATCTCAAATTTTAGCCAAACTCAGGATGCCCTAACCCTAGGAAAACAAACTATTTAATGCATACAAATCAAAAGGAAATCCCTAAACAGTCCCTACATTCAAATTTCCCTCTTAATTACTAAAAAAAATTTTCTATTCTGCTCCCGCAAAGCTTAGGGCTCGCGCGACATCTGCATAAGGCGGAACTCCTCCGCCCTTTTGCGCGCTGGTTCGGTCCCATCAGACCCGTTGGACTGATCTAACAATACTCCCTCCCAATGATTCACCTTGTCCGCAAGGTTGAAAGACGACACCCTCCATTTCTTCTTGATCGTAAACTGTAAGAACCTAAAGAGTTCGATCCTTACACCTGTGCTCTGAAGTATATCTCTCATCACATCTGAACAGATCCCCTTCGTCCTCTTCTTCTGTAATTCTATTTCTGTGAGCTTCTTAAAGTTTTCCCTAAGTCTTCAAATTTCCCTCTTAATTACTAAAAAAAATTTTCTATTCTGCTCCCGCAAAGCTTAGGGCTCGCGCGACATCTGCATAAGGCGGAACTCCTCCGCCCTTTTGCGCGCTGGTTCGGTCCCATCAGACCCGTTGGACTGATCTAACAATACTCCCTCCCAATGATTCACCTTGTCCGCAAGGTTGAAAGACGACACCCTCCATTTCTTCTTGATCGTAAACTGTGAGAACCTAAAGAGTTCGATCCTTACACCTGTGCCCTGAAGTATATCTCTCATCACATCTGAACAGATCCCCTTCGTCCTCTTCTCCTGTAATTCTATTTCTGTGAGCTTAAAGTTTTCCCTAACTCTTCCTCCGGTAATTTTCTCATTCGAAGTCTCGCTAAGAGTACCCAGTGTCGACTCCTTGGGTGCCAGAAAGGTGGTGGTCCTATTCGGACATCCTGAGCTACTCATCTTGCTCTCCAGATGCTCTGATCCTCCACCAATTGAGCTAGCTCTATGGCCTCTCCCAAGTCATGATGCCTCATTACTCTAACTGCTGCCCGGATCTCTGATGTCAGTCCCTTCATGAAATTTCCCTCTAGCATTGTCTTAGGAAGGCGGTCCAATTGGATAGCAAGGTATTCGAATTTCTTCCGGTTCTCGGTCACGGAACCCCTCACTGTGTCAAGGCGAATAATTGCTTGTAGAAGTCTCCTCCCATGCCAGTTCGGAAGCGTTCTACCAAACAATCCTTGAATTCTCTCCAACTCTATATGGGTCGTCGCATGTCCCTTCACTGATACAAGACAAAGCCTTCCCTTCCAAACATAGGCCCGCTGCCGTCAGTCTCTCCTCCTTTATTAACCTATTGACGACGAAATATCTTTTTACCTTGTAGATCCACCCGTGCGCATCCTCCCCCTCAAAGATTGGCATCTTCAGTTTCCTCACCCTCGGGTCACACCCATTTCCCCTAAATCCTCCATAACCCCCCATTCCTCGAAGAAGAGGTGCTCCCCAATTGTCACGATCTTCCCTCCGACGATCATACCCAAACCCTTCATCAAAATTCCCTCTTCTTCTTTCAAAATCAGCGCCCCGACGATCGAAATCATCCCCTCTCCTTACAAATTCAGCACACCTTGTTGCGTACCCAATGCTCATCTCCTCCCTAGAAAGTGGTTCTAGAGGAGGCATTCCGTATTCTCCCTCCAGGAACTCTACTTATGGATTTTTCCTTTCCCTAAACGTTTTAGGATTCTCATCTCTTCCATGGTTGCCGGTAGTTTCTTTTGCTTCCGATGTCACTGGTTTGATTTTAGCTTGAAGCAATTTTTTCTCAACATGTCTTCCACTACGTCGAACTTTTCCTCCATCATTTCATTGACAGATTCAATTTAATTGTGAAAATAAGCAATCTTCTCCTCAAAATTTGCTTCGAGTTGCCCAAGTTCTTCCTCCAAAACTTCTAATTTTCTTTCGGCCATTTGTTTCCCTTTGATCGACATGCTCTGATATCAATTTGATAGGAAACACTTGTAAATCTCAAGTATTTCTTATCAATCTTTAGAAAACAACAAGAATTTTCCAAAAAATCCGCACAAATTCACAAAAACAGTAGATAATTTGTATTACTTGATGAAAGGGAAACATAAAATAGCAAGATACAATTGATCCTCTATTCGAGAGGAGGATAGATCAATCCCAAATCTCTAGACGCCGCTAGAGCCCAAAGAAGAACCTAAATCTAAGTGATGTCAAATTTTAGCCAAATTTAAGATACCCTAACCCTAGGAAAACAAACTATTTAAATCATACAAATCAAAAGGAAATCCCTAAACAGTCCCTACATTCAAATTTCCCTCTTAATTCTCTCAAAAAACTTTCCTATTCGGCTCCCGCAAAGCTTGCTGCTCACATGGCATTCTCAGGAGGCAGGATTCCTCCGCCCTTTTACGCGCTGGTTCAGTCTCGTCAAACCGGTCTAACAAGTCTTTGGCCTTTTTTGAGTAACAATAAAAGAAAAGACAAGACAAAAAACAATGTCAAGGCTATTTTTTGAAATAACTTGGAATTATAATGTAAACATGAACTTTGATATTTTGAATATTTTTTTTTTTGAAAAAGCAAATAACTTGCATTAAAAGAGAAACGAAACTATTACAAACTAGAACCCGATTCCTCCTTTAACAATTGCATAAATGAAGGCGGAACCTTATTAGAAGATAAATCATCTCAAAGAAAGTTACTCAAAAGAGCATAGTTAGCACATAAATTAGCCAAATTATTACAACCTGTATTTACCCAATTATAAAACTACATAATTAAAATCCTTTAAGAAATGAAGATCTTCCCTATAATTGCCCCCCAATTCTTGTAAAAATTTGATGATGTTATGGTTATCACCTTCAATAATTATCCCTTTCTAAGTACCCATCCAATCTTTTTTGAGTTCCTTTATGATTTTTACTGCCAAAAGTTCTAGATAAGAGACATCCCAATGAATATAAGTATGCCCATAAGCCAAAAGAAACCTTCCTTTGCTATCTAAGATTACACCTCCAACTCTTGCTTTGTACGATTTCAACAAGGATGCATCCACATTAATTTTGATCCAATCGGGAGGGGGAGGGTACCAACGATCCAACAGTCTATTCGACTGATTAGTACCCCAAAGGCCCGATTTAACTTTGTCAAACTTAAAAGAGATTGAAGCATAGCTTACTGAATTAGTTGCAATCATTATGACACTATCATCTTTACCTCCATGAAGAAATTTATTTCTGGCACGCCAAGAGAAGTATACTGAATTACAGTAAATATTAGTAATGAAATTATGTTCATTAGCATATTTGTCCATCCAATTCCAGCATTCATGAAATGAATCAAAAGTAGGGAAACCAAACCCCCATTTATTGAGATAATTTACCACCGCCATCAGCTTCAAACACTTGATCGTGACATGATCTAGATCTTCCTTCTCATTAAAACCTCTCAGACATCCCAAGTCCTCTTGGATTCTTCTATTATGAAGAAAATGAAATGTAGGTATTGCATTATTGAAGATGCGCCACCAAAAAACTTCCACCCGAGGTTTAAGTTTAATCCTTTTAAAACATTCCCAATACAAGCAATCGGAATTTTCCTGGATGGAAGCCTTATAAGCAAGAACTGCTATAGAACTGGATTTAGATAAATAGGAGCCATAAAAACTTCTCCTATTTCCAAATTAATTGGAACATCACAAATTAAACAGATAAGATCGTTCCCGAAGAGTAATTTTAACTTATTTATGTTCCATTTACCATCAACCATTAGATTATCTACCGTCATGTTTTCTTGTTCTGGAATAGCCATAAAAGTAGGCCATTTATTCAAACTTTTATCCAAGATCCAAATGTCATTGTAAACATCAATAGAGCATCCGTTACCAACCTTCCATCTAATTACATTTTTCAGAGAATACATACCATTTGCAGTAATTTTACAACAAGAACTCCTTTCAACAACCTCTCCACCAACAAAGCCATACTTCACTCCAAACGTTTTAAAAAGCAACGATTCTTTATCATGGATTAACTTCTAAGCCAACTTTGCTCTTAAGGGCCCAGCCATATTAGAGCAGGAACGAATACCACGTTTGCCCAATTTTTCTGGTTTGCATAAATTGCTCCAGCTCACATAGTGAAGACCAAGTTTCTCATCCTTGTTCCATATGAAATTCCTACAAATCTTATCCAATTCATTCAGCACATCTTTTGGAATAAGAGCAAGTGTCCAATAAAAGACCGAAATGGATAAGAAAATAGATTTTATAAGAGTAAACTTTCCAGCCAGAGAAATGAACTTGGATCCCCAAACATCAACTAATCTGAAAGCCTTTTCAATGATGAAATGGAAGTCTGCCACTACTATTCTCCTTAATGCCACTTTAATCCCAAGATATTTGAATTCTTTAATCACCTTAAAGCCCATAATACGTTCAATTGACTTCTTCTTCTTCTTCTTAACATGTTTCCCAAATAAAATAGACGATTTCCCCATGTTGATCCTCTGTCCAGTCCAAGCACAAAATTCATTTAAGATATTTTTGATTTCCTTCACTTCTTTTGCTTTTTGCTTTAGAGAATATTATAATATCATCTGCATACAACATATGTGAAATTCTGGGCCCATTTGAAACAATATTAACTCCCATAGAATTTTCTTTTTGTATTATGAATATTCAGACAATTAAAATGCTAACAAGAAAAGAACATAGGATCAAACAACAACAAACAACAACATCAAGCCTTTATCCCACTACGTGGGGTCGGCTACATGAATCCTTTTTCTCCATTGTATCCTATTAAAGGTCAAATTCTCGTTTAAATCTAATAAAGAAAGGTCATTCCTAATATTTTCTAACCAAATCTTTTTAGGTTTGACTCTACCTC